GAAATAACCCAGCTCCTGGATGATGTTCTACTTTTATCTGACCACAATTACTGAGCACTTATTTCAATAAAAAACTATGTACATGTAGCTGATACTATTATAAGTATAATGTACTTTATACAACACCAACAACAATGATTTTAACGCATTTTTCAGTGCATATTATCAAGAACACCTCAACAGGAAGTACAGAAATGACACTGTGAGCTGCATCTGCTGCGAAAATAGGACGTCATATGAGATGATGGAGGAGATGGCCCATTTTGTAACAAGAGGCCAATTTAAAAAATAAAACAGCAGAATTTGGCAAAAAAAAAAAAAAAAAAAAAACAAAAAAAAAAAAAAAGCAGCATGCTGTAGGTTTTAATTACTCACCCCACCAGAAGATATGAGTAAGCAGCACACATGGACTACAGAGTGTATCGTCTACTCGCCATCTGCACATTTACTATACATCAAACACTCCCTACAGTTTATCTGCTACACGTGAATTAAAAGAACATGCAGTGCTAATGCACCCCTGAAGCCCTGCATGACTGAAGGACAATATAGCCATGCAGCCTTTTGTGTGCAGCTACTGTAGTGACTGGTCTATTCACAGCTACCGTATACAGACCCCTTTAGGGAAGGGGGTGAGGTGGTGATGGCGGTGGGGGTTCCCTGTTTTCATTTTACCTTTTGAGATGCTGCTCCAGCTCCCAGAACAAAAGCTTCATTGCCATCTCGTCATGGCCTTGCACTCGTATCCCCCGCGCTCTCATGGAGCCGTCCGTCAGCAGCAGCATATACACTCCAGAGTAAGCGCAGCAGCAGTGTGTCCCTAACCTTCTTTGTTTAGTGTGGGTTTTTTTGTTTTGTTTTTTTTAAAACAAACAAACAAAAAAACCCCACACCACTCGTACCCTATTAAATTCAGCGTGCTAGATCACAGCAAAAGACGCAGCTGTAGCTGGACAGTGAATAAAAGGCAGCGTGCCAGGTTATGACTGTACGTGAGCTCTTTATTTTTTTCCTCGGTCACTCATTTGTGTTTGAATGGCTGACTAGTGAGTGATTTACTGAATACAGCCAGTTACTGAGCCGGTGGTGACGTGTGATCATGTGATAGGAGTTACATAAACCATCACCGCAGATTAGCATGTGGACCAATGAGTTCCCTGCTCCTGTGGTCTCTATAGACATATGCAAAAAAATAAATAAATAAAACAGATCTTAAAAAAGATTACACGGAGCCTCAGTTTGTAGCATTCTTTGGTCTCAAGAACTACAAATCAGTCCTTTAACCTTTAGTGACAGATTAATAATGCTACAAAATTCCCTTGAACTCAAAGTCAACAGGATTTTAGGGTTTCCCGTCAAAGACGGTAAGAGCATTCCTGACACTGGTTACTTAACTCGCCACTTCAAACCAAAACATGTCTTTGTCCTTTTACGAGTACATATGCCAGCCCGTTGTGTGACAGACCAGAGACCCTGTGCTTTAGGGTCTTATCTTGTCATATCTCATTGGATGGCAGCTTTAAGATGGCTTAGTGCTTTCCACAGATAGAAAACACAACATGTACTCACAGGGCCTCTGCTGGCTTAGAGACAGCCCGCCAAGAAACAACAGGTAAAGGATGAGCACAATCCAGGGGATATGAATCAGTACCACATGACTTCTGGGCAGCTCATGCCACACCCTGTTTATGGCATTATTTATTATTGCCATAATTATTATTATTATTATTTTTTATTTTTATTTTAAGCAAACCATATTCTTAGAGATTATTTTTATTCTAACGGGTGTGTTGAAGGACTCATTTTTTAGTTTTTGAGTTAATGTTTTATATTCAACTATATTTCCAGTGGACAGACTTTTATTTATTTAGAGAAAATAATTAAAACTTAAAAATGAGGAATACTTATTAAAGAAAGGGCCCCCTTTTACAGTACATATGAACACACATTTCCCTTCTGAGGCTAGTAAGACAAACAATTACTCCATACTTGCTAGTAACTGAGCACACAGCTGACCTGCACCTTTCTGCAGCCTAAACACATGCAAAAAGTTAAACTACACAGAAGCAGATGCACTGCTGGGTTATC